CAGGGTTTCAACCAGGTCCGTCAGAGTGAGCGGTTACTTTAAGTTGCGATTGGGCTCCGAGGTGGCCGTAGCCTGCTATCTGGCAAGCGTGGGTGGAAGGCGCTCACGGAGCAATTGATGCGAGATGACGCTTAGAATTGACAGCGTGCTCTCTCCACACTGAAAGAACTGGCCAGACGAGGCCCTGGATGTGCTGAATGTGCACAATGCGACAAACCAAGGGAGACGGTTCAAGCAGTCCAGTGGCTGAACCGCCCCCCAGCACACCGCCCCGAAATTCATGAGGCTGGGGACAGAAAGTCGTCTCGGAGCTGGGAGGGACCCCTGCTCGGGTCAGGGGTCAATGGAAGGCTGGGCGGGGGTTCTCTGCAGCCGGGGGTCGAATGGAACGGGTGGAAACGCACAGGGGTCTCGTTCTCGGCAGCTCTTTTGGTATCTCATAACCCGAGTATCCGATCAGTCGGAGTGGGCATCCGAGGGCATCCTTCCTGAGTGTGTCAAGCTGGTATTATTGACTCTTCGCTGTTGGGGTGCCGACTTCGAGGGCAGCACCGTTTCTAACTTGCTTCTAACTAGGGTATCTTCTATAACAACCCTCTAAATCACCGACTGAAAAATGCAAAGAAACTTGCAAATCTCGATGCTCTTTCCACCCCCACGTCTGCCGAGTACCTCACCCCGTCACCCTCCCTTGCCCGCTGTTTCTTCAACTCGTCATAGTCCGGCATGAACCGGCTCACCACGGTAAACCCGAGGCCGATGGCCACCATCAGCACCCAGATGGCATACCCCCACAACAACTGGGTGCGCGCGCCAACGGCGAACAGGCCCGAGAAGGCGGCGGGCGAGAAGGCTCTGACGCCGCTGACGATGGACAGGGCGAGTGCGTTGAGGGTGCCCAGCGTGGCCGGGCTGGGCGAGACGTCGTTGAGAGCGAGCTGGATGGCGGTGAAGCACATGCTGATGCCGGAGCCGAAGGCCAGCAGGGGCGGGGCGAGGATCCAGAACGCCTTCGTGGTCGCGGGGGTGTCGGCCCGCAGGAGGAGGTTGAAGAAGGGCGCCATGGCGAAAAAGAGCGGGTAGGCGATGGCGCAAACCCGGAGGACGCCGTTGGTGCCGATGCGCCGGTGCAGCGGCGGGAACACGAGCAGGATCCAGATCGCCTGGGAGAGGCCGTTGAGTCCCATCATAAGGGAGATCTGTAGTGACGTGAAGCCCCAGCCGCCGAGGCTGATCTTGGTAAACCAGAAGACGGGGACGATGGATGTGTAGGAGTAGGCTAGGAGCATGATGTGCCCGTAAGTGTAGAGAACAATACGCACACCGGGGACTTCGAAGAGGTCCCGGGTAGTATACGTGGGCTTGGGGGCGACGGATTCTTCGCCGTGGCTGCTGCGGTCGGCCGCGGTGGGCTTGACGAGGGTCTCCTCGACGCAGATGGCAGTAACTGCCACGGCTGAGAGGCCGATGACTCCCACGACCAAGCTCGGCAGCGCGTATGGGTAGTTGATAAAGAAGGAAACGTTGCCGAATAGGCCGGGGTACTGCCGTGCCGGGTCGGCGAGGGCACCGCCGATGAGCGGCCCGAACAAGATGCCTATGTTGCCGGTAAAGGCGAACCAGCTGAAGGCGCGGGCCTGTGTCTTGGAGGTGCTGTGCTCCGAGATCATGGTGCGAATGGTAACGATGGTGCCCGCGAAGACGCCGGCGAGGCAGCGGAAGAGGATCATCTGCCAGATGGTCGTGGCCATCCCGAAGAGGGCCGTGGTGCACGACACACCAGCCAGCGAGAAAACCAACACGGGCTTGCGGCCGAAGCGGTCCGAGGCCTTTCCCCACGTGATCATGACCACCATTTGGGTGAGCGAGAAGAGCGACTCGATCAGGCCGCTGTAGAAGCCCACGTCGGCATCGGCGAGCTGGCCGTTCTCCTGGGCCATCTGGTTGATGTAGGGAAAGATGCAGAAGAAGGCGATGGGCTCGACCCAGCGCGCGTAGCAGAGGGCGACGATCTGCCATACGGGTAACGGCTTGTCGTCGACATTGTTGCCTTGATGGTCTTCGTCTTGGCTTTGCTCAACGGCCTCGTTATTCGGGGCGATATCTCCAGTAGCCAAGAGAGGTGTCTGTTCGGTCACCGTGTCGATGCCGTAGAAGCCATTGACGCCGTCGGCGCCGTCGTCGGCGCCGTCCCTCATTTTGCGTGTTGTAATGAAGAAGTAAGAGAAATAGGAATCGTAAGGTTCTCTTCAGCAAGCATTGTAGTTAAGACATGCTCTTGGCTCATGTATCTTAGAGGTACTTATGTTGCGTGTTGACAGTGCCAGTGCTTAAAGCAGAATCGGCGTGGCAGGCAGCGCGCTGGCGTTGCCTTTGGATGAACAGTGGCGCAATTGGCCAGTCATCAGTGGGACGGTGGGACCTAGGGGAAGATCTTCCTAGGGGCACGGTCTCGGGAAGCCGTCAACCGAGCGAGTGAATGCTGGTTCATCTCATTTTTCTTTTGTCATCGGCCATCGAGATCGAGGAGCTGGTTTGACGTGCCCAATGACTTCAAACCCGACACTTTTGCATATTCGTACATGTGCAGTATTCGTATATACAGTACCTCCAATGCATTCCCGAAAGGGCGTATCAAACAGCGTTGCATCGTTCATCGGTTGTGTGCTACCCCGGCCTCCAACTGCCGCATCTGGAAGGCAGCATCGGAGAGTTCCTGTGATGGATGGTCAGCATTTATTTCCTGCTCGAGGGTGCCACAGGCTACTCTGCTGCACGCCCTTCTCATCGGTTCTGCCCTCGCATTCCCTTCAAAGAGGACCCTTCCTGTATCAAGCAAGAGGGCCAGTGCACATAAGTGGTACTACCTCCCGTGTCATGGCCAGGTGACGCTGGCCCAGGAAACCTCACCGCGCCATAACGTGGCAATCCACTTGAGTTGATCGAAGTTGTCACACATGCACCGCACTTTCGCCGCGTGCCCGTGTTAGAGGGGTGTTTTCTAGAATATGGCCGTGTGGTCGTTACACCATCACAGCGGGGTAGTCAGCCGCCAACAGAAGGGCATGGGCGTGGGCATCAGCCAAACCTTGCCGTGAATACCGTACCAACCCAAATGACTTCAGCGATTAGAGAGGGGGAGAGAAGGAAAGAGGTTCAGGAGTCTATTATCAACGAGTGAGGGTATCTTCCAAAAACCAGCCCGCTTTTCCCAACACGTCGTCCATGCCCAACAAGAATGACAGGCTTTTTCACCCCTTTTTGTCCGTGCCCACAAACCATAAGCCAGAAGTGACCGTGCCTTGATCGCGCCATGCCATGAACCACAGCCAAAAAACCGACCTACCTACTGAACGCCCCCAACACCCCGCGTGTACCTCCAAAGCAAGCTCGCCCCTTCCAGCTTCCACTTGGGCAAACAAATCCTCTCCTCGCCCCCTTTACCCGCAGGCCCTTTTCCACTCCACCCCCCAGCACCAACACATATCCTCCCAGCCGCACTCCGAACCATACCCCCCTCCTCCCCAGCACGCCCATCCCAACCCCCTTCCCCAGCACCCGCAGCCGGCAAACAAGCCGCCACCATGCCCCTGACCCAGCGCCGTCTAAACCGCCGCCAGTCATCATTTGTCGGCCACGGATCGCACCACTCGCCCTCATCCTCCCCATCGCTAGCGTCTCCACTCGCAACGCCTACGTTCGCAACAGTTGAGCGCTCCCACCTACCCCCTAACCCCAATCCCGGCTCCGCAGAAGACGTCCCCCGTCCCCCGTTAACATAACATTCATACTCGTCAAACTCGTCACGCTCCTGCGCCCGCGTGTCGGGCAACGGGTAGTAGAGAAACTCGTTGGAGTGGGGCCGGCGCGGCGGCGAGTTGATGTTAGCCTCGATATCGAACTTAAACCGGTACGCCTGGTGTACCTGCTGTTGCTGTGGTCGCGGCGCCGGGGCAAGGGCCGAGGTTGAGGCTGCGGTTGTAGTCGCGATGGGGGTGGCGTGCGGTTGTTGATGGTAGTGTTGCTGTTGTTGTATATGCGGCGGTTGTATCTGCAAAGGTAGTGGCGGTGGCGGCGGCGGTGATTGTTGTTGTGAGGGAGCTGAGAATGATGAGAATGGCAGGTAAGGCGGTGGTACGGGGGAGGTTGTTGCGCTGTTCGCAGGAGAGGGTAGCCCATTTCGTATTGTCGTTAGGGTTGCCGGGATCGGGCATTTGGGAGGGCAGTTGGACAAGGGGGGGCCACTGCTAACGGTCGGTGAAGGGTGGACGATGGGTTCTAGCGTAGGTCTGCATAAAGGCCCAAGCCCGGCATGGATTGACCCAGCCATCGGAGCTAAGGGCATCGGTGTCAACGTCCCCGGAAACCGAAAATCAAATTCGAACTGGAATTCTTGGTGGACCACGAAAATGAGCGTCCGAAGTCGCGGGAACTTGGCAAGGCTCGCCAGCAGCTTTCCCATGTTGTTCTTGGACACCTTCCGGCCCAGAACAGGGTGGAAGATGCCCGGGTAGATGCCGTATGACGTCCCGAGCGCGAGGCGGGTGGCGTTTTCGCGTACCAGTGGGATCTGGCTCATAAAGTGCAATGCCCGGTGTAGCCGCTTGACGAGTAGGTACGGCTCCAAAAGCAGGATGTCCCGCGAAATGTCGACGAATTTGGTCGTCTTGCCTAGTGTCAGGGGCTTGTAATGGTGTATGACAAAGTACCGACTTTCTCGACACACGGCTGCGAGCGCTGGCGGAGGTTCCGGGGTGCATGTTCGCAAACATGAGCCCTTCTTGAGCTGGTGTTTTCTGCTTCGCATTGGGCGCATCCAAGACCTCGTACACCCTTGGCTCCGGCAACGCGAGCTCCCAGATCATGTTCCGGATCTCAGGGGGGAGCCGTTGAAACCTCCCAAACCGGTCCGGCGTTTGCATGGGGCAGCATCGCGGGAACAACTGGTCATGATGCATGGTCTCTGGTGTCGAGCTGATCCACCTGTCCGAGAAATCGAGTTTTGCGACCGAGATATATCGTACGTTCCGTTGTTAACCCGGTCCCTTTAGCCAGGCAGCCCTTCTTCCCGTGATATCCCACTCTTGAGAATATACCCGGCCCAGCCTCTTGGATCAGTAGCCACGTCTAAACTCTCCGCACTTCAATTTGAGCCGCCTCCCAACGACAAGCCACGAAAAAAAATAGTTGGCGGGAGTTATGATGCCGGCAGTCCACCCAGATGGCGGCGGGGTTAAGCTCGGCAACTCTGAATTGGGGGTTGGGATCCAGGGCTCGGCTGGTGTCTGATATCTTGGGCGAGTCTGTACGGCAGAGAAGCAGCTTATGAAGAGCTGACCAAAAACGATGGTGGGGAGCAAGCCTCACACTTTCTTTGGGATCCAAGCTGATTAAGACGCAGCAGTAAGAAACGGCGTGTGGCAATATTACAGACCGCGGCACAGGGCGTGGTAACACGTCATGTGTTCTCGCAGGTTCAAAGCCCAAAAAGAGAGAAAGGAAGTTGAGGAGAATCCAGAAAGCGAATGGTGTTTGGGCGCCACCAACTTTTGGGGCCTGCTGCGGGTTCAGCTCTCGTCACTTGACAGTCGTTTGACAAAAGCAAACAGACAATCCGACGCTGCTCGGTTCTAGGAGAGCCTAGACAAAGCGCCGCGCTCGGGAGCGAGCCGAGCGACATATCGGAAACGGGTTAAGGGGGTCCAAGGCGGTATTTCCAAGAACTACCATGCGTGCGCACGCTTGCTTGGACATGGAAGGTGTACCCCTCCCCTCCTTCGCTATAGCTAGGGGAGCAGCAGATGAGATGGGAAAGTGCCAAACCTTCCACAAGAAGAAATTCCACACCCGGGACTGGCCGGTTCCTTCTTAGGCCAGAGTGGGAAAAAGGAGCCACGGCCCATCCGACGCTACCGACCGCTGGACGATGGCAGGCTTGGTCATGGTCATGTCATTTCGTATGGCTCTGCGGGAGGCTGCGGAGGCCTGACGACGTTGCGCGCTGTGGAGGGAGCTGGCAGCGCCGAGGCCCAACCGCTGCGGGAGCTGTCCGTCAGCTGGGCCCGCGGGTTACGGTGAGCGGGATGGCGAACAGATTGGGGGTCCTTTGGGCGCATTGTGTCGAATAGGCAGGCCGAAACAGACAGGAGGTCAGTGAGGTCGGTGGAAGGGACTCTGCAGAACAAGGGGAGGGTGCGTGGCGGTGGGTTCCGGAGAGCTATTCTTAGTATATAGGGGCCACGTTTTATTCCTGCAGCGACCCAATTCATTAGTTTTTCAGGCTTACCGATCTGGGATCCATGGTTACGTGCCGTCGACAAGCGAGTTGTTGCAATCGGGTTTGTGCGCCGGATTTCGTGATCGGGACCAAGCGTGCTAGCGGCTCGCGGGGGAGCCCAGGTCCAGGCCTCGATAGGCGAGTTGGCGAGTTTGGCGAGAACTGCTGGGGGGCTGACGGCCCCCAATCTGTGGTTCAGTATCAGCCAAGCGTAGGTAATAAGTACGCCTCCGAGATGCGAGCGTGTGTGTGAGAGAGAGCAAGGACCAACGCTGCGGCGATAACCAATACGCTGTCGCAGCATGTACAGACCAAGTGACATGTGAGGCGGAAGAATGTGGGGGAGACTCGGAGCAATACTACCCAAGCATGGATGCAAAACGTGAGGTCTCACAGGCCCCAGGTGATAGGGGAATTTTGAGACGGATCGCCGAAGGACCCTCCAAGTGCCTTGATCCCAGACAGAAAGAGAGAAACTCGAAACAAAACGTGGGCTGATCATTCTCGACTTGTTGGAGAGTTGCCGGTTCAAGAACTGGCGGTCATTGCAGCAGATCAGACATTCCGCGTAGAGATAAAGCGGGATAAAGTAAAGAAATGTAAGGGTAGAAGGAGGGAGAAACAAGCATGAAAGAGACAACAACTGCGGACACAAAACAAATGACGAAGCACCCGGTCACTTCGAATATTCGTGGTTCCAGCAGATTGTTTCGCTTTGGAGGGGGGCAAAGGGCACGAGGACTGCCGACCTGCTGGTGTGGTCGCCGAATTTGGCAGAGGTGCGGGCTCAGTCACGGCCAGGTCCGGGTACTTGGTACCTCGCAAGGGCTTGGACCCTGCCATCACCAGAAAGAGTTCATCAAGCCCGAGGTTGTTCCTTTCCCAATTATTCAAGGGTTCTTACCCGAAATATCCTCCAGTTATCAATTATTCCCTCTCAAAGATCATCCTACCAATGCGGCTTGACCCCTCAACAACTTCCCTTCCCGTCTACTCGGCGTTTTCATCGTAGCCGGTCATAGTCGGGTAATTATCAACGTGACCGATTACCAGAATATCAGCCCGAGCCAGTGACAGTGACCATCTATAGGTCGTCACGAATAGAATTGAGGAATCTTTGCAATGCCCCTGGATCTCTGTTGACGTATTGCTCATTCTCTCACAAGCAAGCTTAGCTTGCAGTTAGATCTTGATCACATTAAAGACCTATTTTGTCACGAACCAACCATGTCTTAAGACCGGGCGGAGCCCGCAGCGGCGCATCTTCCTAACAACCCCCGATATATCGAGCCACAGCGGCCCAACGACGTTCAACAACCTAAGCAACGGGTCACAACTCAGAGAATAGCTACACAAGAATCTATGGCAGCCGATCGTGACATCAACCGCCTTCCCGGCATCTTACGCCTCACTCCCGACACGCGACGCCGCATCTACCTGCACAGCGAGATAGCGTACAGACAGTATTATTCCGAGAGATGGCCCGGGCTCTACAACCTAGGCGAGTCGGCTGTCGAGGCGCAGAGGACGAAGGCTGAGGGATTTAGTACATTCTATGGCTTGCTGCTCTCCTGTCGAACCATCTACGCTGAAGCATCAGCCTTGCTATACTCAGCAAACCGGTTCATGGTCCGTTACCAACCCTGGCGGTCCCTTGCCCCCCTGCGTGCTCTGACCCCTCGCATCTTGGCCCACCTGGCCGACCTCAAGATCATACTCAACCAGACTTCCTGCCACGAACAGGAAACCGAGCAAGCCAGCGGCGCATGCTGCGGCGGCGGCACGACCAAGTCGGCCGCACCATGCGGCATCGTCGAACATGTGTACGACCACGACATTCCTCTCGACAAATCAGATTTGGCTGCCGAGACTCTTTTTGCAGAGTGGCACGCGACCGTCGCCTATCTAGCGGCGCACATTATCCCTGGACAACTGGAACTGACCTTGGTCTGTGATGTGCACTACGCGGGCGTCGAAACGGCCAAAGTCGTGCTGGACAGCCTCCATTTGTTGCCGCGGCTTAAAAACTGCCACATCCGGCTCTGCGGTGTCCGCGAGCCCCGGCTTCAGCAGCTCGCCCAGGATGCTGTTTTACGCGCCCGCGGTATCCAATTCCCCAATCACTCGGCGGCGGCGTCTTCAGTCTCTGTTACCCCTCGTTTGACCAACCTCCCGCGCGAGTTACAGCTTCGTATCCTCGAGTATACCGATCTCGTCACTCCCCACAAAGAGGTTTTGTGGAGTAGGAAATCGCAGGGGTATCACATATCGAGGCCCCCATGCTATAGAATGATGCGCCGTTGCCCGCCCGAGTTCCACTACGGGTGTCAGTTTCTCCTATGTTGGGAAACGCCGTGGCCAATTCCATCTAACGGCTGTTTCTGCCGCCGCCAGCACGCTGCCGTTTCCTCCCGATGCAGATGTTGGGAGCCGCCAACCCCTTTGTTCCTCGTCTGCCGGTCTCTCTACTCAGAGGCGAACCGCGTCTTTTACAGCCAAAACCGCGTAGTCGTCATCGAAGCCCCGTATAAAAACCCCTATACGCCTTGGGCACCGGGCGATTACCCACACCCTGTCTTCGCGGTGAGCCGGTTTTTACGGCACGTTGTCCCCCTCCACTGCCTTAGATACATCCGCTTCCTCGAGCTGGTGTTTGCCCCCTTCAACCATCTGAGTAGGCCACGAGACGGACATCCCGCGCTGCTGGACTGGCCCGAGACCCTCGATTGGGCCAAGCAGGAGCTCAACCTCCCAGGACTAACCCTGCGTTTGGTCATGGCGTTCAACGACGAAGACCGACCCACAGGGAGCTGGGGAATGACACGAGCCCAGGGGAAAGAAGTCCTGGCGCTCTACAACTTAATCCTGCTCCCTGTGCGGCGCCTGGACCCGGCGGGGGGCGGCTTGGCACGGTTTTATGCCGAGCTGGTCTGGCCCCTGAGATGGACAAGCTGGGCGCGGCAGAAGAGAGACGAGGAAGGGGGGGAGGACTGGCTCGCCTCCAAAGGAGAAGAGCTTAAAAGACGTGCCGAGCAATCTATCATGGGAGAGAGGTATGAGCGTGTCCAGGCCGTGACTCAGGAACCGCAGGAGAGCCTCTGGACATGGTCTTCGCTCTCTCACATATACTAAGGGATCGGTACATTTACGTAGCCCCGGCCTAGATACATTGCCTTGGGTGGGTGCCTAGGTGGCCCCTGTTGCTACTGTAGGAAGTGTTCTACATATCCTTCGCTTTGCCTCTATTCCGATCCCTTGTGTGATTATCAGTCGTTATAGTATCTATCATTTAGCTGGGCCCATGGAAAGCCCAGAAACTCGGCATCTTTCTGATGAACTTTGGCTTGAACTAAACTAGAACATTTCCTGGTGACGTTAAGGCGAAATGAATGGACAAGATAAGCGCCTGCTGTGTATTCTCAGGGGCACCTCCATCTGATCTAAGAAATGGGGCTTACTGGCGAACCTAAGACTAGATCAACCGATAGCATAACTAAACAATACGTTCCGAATGACTTGGCACCAAGTACCCGAAGCTGCGCTTTGTCCTACCATTTTTTTATTAGTTCCAGCTCTCAAATGGGAAGGTAAAGTACATGATTGCTAGGGAGAGCGCCCCTCTCTTATAAGTAATGTTTGAGATAGAATATGTCACTATGATTCACGTTGCTAGTATCTCATGTAGTCGCCCAGATGTCGGGTTTGAGTCCTTCTGGCAATCAGCCGTATTTGAGTGCCAGTGAGCTGATAAAACTCCCCTGAGTTGACAAGTCAATGACTGGAGTTGACTCCAGCTTCGACGCTCTTACCAATGAAGTGAGGAGTTAGGTTGAGAAATCGCATTCGACGATAGCGAAGGGAGGCATGAATTTTTCCGTTGCTGCATTCTACTCTTTTATCCTCCTATTACGCCTTTCCCCCCCGCTTGTCTACTTGACCTCCCATTCTCCCCGAGTCGTTGGCCGGGGGTTGGCATACGGGCTCAGCTTGACTGCACTGGAAACCAAATCCTGACTCTTGCGTAGTAGAATTAGTCGTAGCATCTTTACAACCACCCCAGATAAATCTGCGTCTGTTACCAAATCGTATAATCTCTTAGATTAAGTTTTGGGTGCTATCCACAGAACCGTGTAAGTTGATGTTGATGATCCCCAGTCCTTGCAGTTAGTTGCGAAAGTCGGGTGCAGTGGGGGTGGTGGGGTGAGTGGGGGTGGTGGGGTAAGTGGGGGCAACCGGAATGAGTTTTTCCGGGCCCACCGAGAAAAAATTCTTGGAGCCTCTGGGGGTATAAAGCCTTCGTTGGTCGAACCCGTCCACTTGTTTGTCTCCTTCTGTTGGTGTGCGGCTTCCACATCAGTAAATTTGACCATCCCCGGTTGCTTCGATTCCCGTTCCTTTTCGGAACCTCCATGGTATTCGTTGTGTCAGTTGTGGAACAGAGCGATCATATTGCAGGCCGGCCTCCTCGTCAGTCCAATCCATCGAGATCAATCCCTCCAGGGACTGGGTGGTGACGTTGAGGCTGGACATTATTTTCCTTGTTGATGCGGCCAGAGAGCTGCTGGTTTCAGCTTGCTGGGCTTTCTGGTTGATTATCGTTTGCCGGGGATCGCCTCTGGGTGACACGGAAATGAGCAGCTACCTAGTTGAGGATGCGGCTGCTGTCTGTTTTCAGTCAATTGGCTTTGACAGCACACCGTCTCCCGGATTCCCTTCTGAGCCTGAGACATCGGAAAGACTTCGTGGTTCGTTCGTGACGTATTGCGGATATTGTGGCCGTCTCGCGCGATTTCTAGAATAGCGCTGCTTATCTACGAAAGATCGCATGGGTGTGAGGCTTCGCGTCCTGCGTATTCACGAGATCATGCCCAGCAATCAGCTGCTGGGTCAACGGGTCAACAACGCGGACTGGATGCATCCCGGGACGTCAGTCTTAGGCATATAAATTGTTCCCCCATTAATGCCATGTCTGCTTCTATACCCCAAAGTCATCACTCATGAACTCGACGCAGCTTGCAGGCGGCCAGTTTGGTCTGCGCCCGCCTACTCGCCCGGCTCATCGCCGATCTTCTCGAGCTTGCCCATCTCTCTCTTCTCCCCGGTCTCTCCAATAAGCCGCAGCCGGTCCACCCTAGTCTTTTCGCCATCGCCATCACCGTTCACAACGAACAGCACCAGGCTCGTGATGTTCTGGAACTTGACAAACCTCAGGGGAATGTTTGCGGTACCCTCGTCGTTCCAGTCCTCCTCAGAGAGCTCAAATTCTTGGGTCGCACTCAGATCCTCTGCCTCGTCAAATCCCAGGTTGTGCGGCTTATTGGTGAACAGCTTGATGGTTCGCGGCCTCAGGGGGGCATCTTCTTCGTCATCGTCGTCGCTGGGCGGTAGTGATGTAATCTAATCGAGCGTTTAGCAGGCCATCAAGCCAAGCCATGGTAAAACAGTCACAGCTCACCTGAAGTGTGTGCAGCTTGAGCATCGCCTGGAAGGGCATGAAGAGCAACAACTGCTCGTCTGTGTCGCTCTCGACCCAGTCTTTGGTCGCGCTTTTCCCTCCCGACAGCGCGCTGGGCTTAGCCGTGTCAAACAGCACCCGCACGCCCCCGGCATCCGGGTCGACGTTGAGCAGCTCACAGTACCGCAGCTCGATTTGGCTCGTGATGTCGGTGTAGCCGCGGGGTAGCCCGGCACCCCGCCAGTTGCTGCCGCCGCTGCCGCTCCCGCTGCCGCTCGCCTCACCGTCCCCGCTGCCCATGTTTTGGACTTCCTCACTAAGTTTTTTGACCACTGACTGGAGCTTCATGGGATCAGCGCCCTGGACTTTGTCGGCGACCTTGCCATTGCGGAAGATGATGAAGGTGGGTAGAGAGGTAACTCGGTAGGCCTGTGCGACCTCTTTTTGCTGGTCGGTATCGATCTTGACAAAGGTCACAAGGTTTGGGCGTGACAGAGCGGCCGAGAGCTGTTCGAACACAGGAGCGACTTGTTTGCAGGGGGCACACCAGTCGGCGTAGACTATGATACAAAACGGGAGTCAGCTGCGCTCTGGATTGCGGATTAGGCATGGGCGATGCTACAAGGCAGGCGCCATGGCGGGGTAAATTAGAAGGGATCTGAGGCGCGGCAGGACTCACAGTCTGCCACCACGAGCTTGGAGCTTTGTAGCAGCCCGGTGAGCTGCGAAGGCGACAAGATGCTGACCGTTTTCGACATGTTGGGCGACGTGCTTGAAAAAGTGTCCAAGAGAAGGAATTCGAAGCTCGGCCCTGAGGCAGCTGCAGGAACGCTCAGCAAGCCAGAAAGACCACAGGTGGGGCATCGCCGAAGGCACCGGAGAAACCGGGGCTATTCCCTTTTCAGCTAGCGGCAAATGGCGCCGTTCTGACCAGAGGGATCTTGAATCCAAGCACAGCCAGACAACTTAGCAACCTAGAGACACTCAACCTCAGAGCTTCGAACCAGGGTAACACCCTCAGCATGAACAGGAATTTGTGAAGTCCAATTCTAGTTGTTATATCCATGGCGGGATGATGGGATAATCACGCCAGATGGAGCGAGCACCCGTTTGTGTTGAGTAGATCAAGACGAATCCATCAATAGTTCATATCTCAATAGACGTAGTTAGCTACGATCAGACCAAAAAGGTCACGACTTTCGGGCAAAGAATGAAAAGAACCGACTTGGTTACCCCCAGCCATGGTGTCTCTTGTTGAGTGAGATACTCCGAGACACCCTACTGTATCTCGTAGGCTGCGGCCGTTGCTCTAAGATGATGCGCTTTGTATTGAGTGTTGTTCTGATATTATACTCGCTGCACTTCTACCAGGTATCTCTAATGCACTTGGTCTAAACCCATCCGCGCCAAATGTTGATGCCCTTCCCGCGAATCCCGATGCCACGTTACGCCGACCCTATAATCCAAAAAACCACAACCCGACAAGAAAAACAGGGATGCATAGCCGGCGCCGAGCCTCCTTCTTCACAACAACTCAAAAGGCAAACATACGAAAAAAGCACCGCTAACAACGACCGACGCCGGAGATACCAGTGACTTCATCCCTCATCCCCCGTCCCGCTTGTTCATCATGCATACCGGGCCAATATCTCCAATATCAACCGCTTTCTCTCATCTTCCTTTCTTCTTCTCTCTTCCTCTCTTCTTGTCTCTTCCTCTCTACTTCTCTCTTCCTTCTCCATCATCGCCTGACCAACAGCCCCAACACCGCCCGTCTGCGCAGCAGGCGGCGACGAAGAGCTCTTCTAGTCAGCTGTGCCAGGGCCGTCAGTCCGCCCATGACCAGGGCGCAGACTGGTCAAGTGCCCATAGACCTCGGGGATGTGGCGGCCCTGCCAGCCGTTCTCGACGGACAGGATCCTGGCGCAGACCTTTCTTGACCTGGTAGCGGACGGCGAGCCAGAGCTCGTTGTCGTGCTTGGGGGCGGCGACGATGTGGGCGATGGGGATGTCGGACAGCACCAGGCCCTCCGGGCCGGCGCGCAGGGCCGGGGTCTGGGGCGGGCCCTTAGGCACGAGCACGTGCAGGCCGCACAGGTGCGGGAAGAGCGACCAGATGCGGATCATGGCGTCGTGCCGTGGGTGCTCGCCCAGGTACTGCAGGTCGACGCCGACGTGGCGCACCACGCGCAGGTAGAAGGGCTCCTTGAGCGCCGGCGTCGATTCCCAGCGCTCGGCGGGCCGGTGCGAGCGCGGGATCGGGTCGTCGCTGCGCAGGTAGAAGATGTCGCTGTCGCTGTTGACCCAGACGTGGTGGTTGCCGAGCTGGCGGAGCGTCTTGCCTTTAAGATAGATCTCTCGCGAGAGCTGGCAGGCCTGGCCAATGGTCCTGTCCGCGGGGGGCGTGAAGGTCAGGGACCCGTTGTGGATATCCATAAAGATGACTTGGGGTTCCATGGCAGCCTCGAAGATGGCGACTTGGAGCTCATATGGGAGGTTGGCGATGCTGGCTTTCGTCCTGACGGCCTGGGTCGTACCAGGCGCATGTTTGTTAACCATTGTGTCTGGCGTCGAAGTGGTCGACACGGGCAGAGTCAATCAGGAGGTTGACAGAGAAGGCTGACGGGGCGTAGGACCAGGGTGAAGAATCGGCGCAAAGTGGCGTGAGGCTAGTCGCCTTTCTAGGAATACTTGCAGAGTATCGTAGGGGAGACAGTAATGGTTGTCGAGTGCTCTGATGGACACACTTTGCTTTAGGTATTCTATGAATGCGGACCTTCCCAGTATCGACTAGACAGGCATGTAGCATCTGAAATGGCAGGTTGAGCAGTCTGAAAGACTGAACCCGAGTACTGTGCGGGAAAGTACAATTGAGCGGGAGTGTGCGCGCAGTTCTGGGTGCGGGCCGATAACGGCCAATTCAGCTCCAGTGCTTGCGAGCCAAGCCCTCGGATGCGAGAAGCGCAAGTGGGACTAGGACCAATATCAATAACGTAGGACAGAAGACAGGCGGGTCGATTCATGAAGAAGCAATTTTGTGGAAGAAATGCTGGCTTCTTGAAGCACCGGGGATCTGGGACCTCGGATCTGGGATGACAGGCGCAGGCGCAAGCAACCCCACGGCGTGAATCACTGGGCGTGGGGTGCCCATGTACTTTTCTGTATTTGGTACATTCATTGATGTGCAAATGCTGGACCGCAGCTTATCATATCATCCCGCGCTCCGAGGAAAACGTGCGTTTTGCGTAATACCATGACCGTTACCGCATTTTTTTTACCAGTAAATATGCTAAGTACCTTCTGGTGCTCTCTTCTTTTACGGCCAAGCGGAGTCTAGGTTTTTCAAAACCATGATGGGAGGTCTAGAACTCCTTGAGCAATCTCAGCAATCTCGATTCTTGCCCCACCAAAAATACTTGCGTCACAGGGGTGCTGCAGGTGATTCGACAGGGCTCTGACAAAAGCAGGGCTGCCAAGTGCATCAACGACGTCATAGGGCACGCTCGCTTCTGCCCCAAGCCTTTGCATCTGACCATCAACATGTCTCAGTCCAACCGCAGGGAATACCGCAAAGGCTTTGGAATACCCAGGTGATGCAGGCAAGAGATCGGTACTTTCACTATCCCATCCGTCCGCATACAAATATAGTACATATTCACTCCGTTCCCACCCAGTTTCTTTTAGGGGTCATCCCATCTCCACTCCGTAACCCCGGAACCATCATCAAAAGCTGATCTGCGATATCGACTCTTCCGTCTCAAACGACTTCAGTATCACGTAGCCGGCATCACCAACCTTTTTCCCGAAACTGCCCACACCCCTTATACCAACCAGTAAGCCCCCCTCCATCGCCCCCTCTCCTCTTTCCCCCTTCCCCCACAACCTAACCCACCCACCCCCAGTGTATCCGCGCGAACACCGTCACAAAAAGCGCCTCTACCTCGCCGACCCCCCTCAGCCAGGCATCTGGGAAGTCCGCCGCAAAACAACCACCGTCGTCCCACCACCGTCCCCTCCCCCACCCGTCATCCTCCGCCCAGCCACACCCCCTCCCCCACCACCCATCATCGTCCAACCACCACCACCACCCCTCCCCCTCCCCGCCCCTCCACACGCAGCAACTCCCCCGACATAATCGACGTCATCGCCGTCGGACGTCGACCCCTCCGACAACAAAACCAGCCGCAGCCGCAGCAGCAAATCCTCCCGCTCCCGCTCCCGCCGGCGCCGACGTTCCTACTCCCGCTCACGTTCCCGCTCCCATTCCCGCGACCGCGACATCGAAGTGGTGATCGAGCGCGACCACTACATACCCGTGCCCGTGCGGGTGCCCGTCCGAGTCCCCGTCCGAGTTCCCGTGCCGGTGCCGGGACCTGAACCAGAGACGTTTCGCTACGTGGACGGCTTGCCGGCGAGAGAGCCGCGCGAGAGGGCGCCGAGGGCGCCCAGTCCGCCGTCGGTAGTGGGTGGTGATGGTGATGGTGATGGTGGGGAGAGGAGGATTAGTGTGAGGGTGGAGGATCGGTGGTCGGAATATCCGCATCCTCATCCGCATCCGTATGAGCGGGAGAGGGAGAGGGAGAGGGAGAGGGAGCACGATTATGAATATGACTATGGGCGGAGTGGTGGTGGTGGGTATGGGCATGACGGGTGTGGGTATGGGCATGGGCGTGGGTATGGGCGGGAGCCTGAATACGATGGGGGATATGGGCATGGCCACGCGAGAGGGTATGGCGGGGGGCATGGGAGGTATTAATGATTGAGCGAATTGGTTCACAGGTTCATGGGCGAAGGCGCTGGATAAAACGGAGGCTTTTTAACGAACATATCATGATGGGATGGATATATGATAGGGATATACGAATAGTTTAACGATGTACGAGACACGAACAGACGGAAAACGGAGGTTGGATGGAGTGCATGCAGATTTTCAGACAAACATAAGACCATTTATCCTTCCTAGCATTGTAACAATCTACTAATACCTCCTCGACCACAATGGCTGGAATTGTCCAAAACGCCCCAAAGGCAAACCCCATTGTCGATTCAAGCTACTGATGGACAAGAGATCTATCTACCTAGTGTGATATGCCCTACCGAGCAAGCCAACCTCAACACCAAACCAATCCCATAACCCCGCCCCCCTCATAATAGCCCTAACCGTTACACATCCAACACCCTCACTCAAACCACCGCCCTCCCTCAAAACCTATACGCCCCAATCGCCTGCGCAAAGCCCATCCCCTCTGGAAACTCCTCCACAAACAACCGAAACGCCGGCAACCTCAACAAGCGCGCCTTCATGCGGTCGCCGGCGTCGTACATGGCCTTGACCATCTTGGCGCTCCACGGCTGCGACTCCACGATGAGCACGGCGTCGAGGAACGACGCCAGGTGCTGCTTCTCCTCCCAGTCGACCTCGCCGCGCGAGAACCGGCAGTGCGCGCAGTGGTGGCCCGCCACCGCTACCACGTGCCGCGAGAGCTCCTCCACGCACGCCGCCATGCCCAGCTTGAGGCTGCCGAGCCGGAAGCGTTCGGCGAGGAAGTAGATCTCGACGAAGGTGAAGAAGGAGGGGTGGTCTTCCCAGAGTTGGGCCGGGAGTTCTGCATGGTGGGGAAGGGGAGGCGGGGTGGGTTAGTTCGTTGCTTGGGTGATGGGGTAGGGAGGGGGGTTGATGTCGGGGGACTTGCCGTTTGTGTGGAGGAACTGAAGAAGAGCAGAGAAGACCCTTGGGCGAGTCGTCGTCGAGGTACGGGGGCAGACTATGACGGGTTCCCCCTACCCCTATCTTAGTAACAGCTGGTGAGAATGGACTCAAGTTCTGCTTACCGGCTCTGCTCGGGCCATGGCCGGTATAATCCAGGGGAAGTGGGCGGTGACGATGTCTTTCTTGACCCTCCACGCTTCGTCCTCGAAACTGAGCGTTATGTCGCCGTCAGGGTCTCCGGCCCAAACATCGGTAGACCAGAGGATGGTCTCTGCCTTCTCAGACAAACACGCGTCTCGGCTCATTGTGGCAGGTGACAGAAAGGGGTGGTGATGAGCGTCGGCTTCTAGACTGCTGAATGGAATGAGGCACGCAAGATGTGTTGCTATGATACTAAGCCGTCGGGGAACTTAAAAATGCGTGGAGTCGGTATTCCTGTGCGGCGGCTGGAGACATATAACTGCGTAAATCGATGATGTCTATATTGAACGTCTAACCCTCACGAAATCTTACACCTCCTATCTTCCGTTGACACTTGCCCCCTTCGGATCGATTTGGGGTTTATGCGGAAAGGGCGAAGCTGGTCGACATCTGAATAGTTCCTACCTTACCTACTTCAAGTCACCTGCTTTTAGGGGCCGTGACTCAGATGTGACTGCCATCATAATTCGAAATTCTTAGTAACTCGGGACGGTGAGGACCAAAACCGTTTCCAGAACCGGTAGATATAAGCCCATTCGGATGGTATGGTGCATGAGATGAAATTTCCTGAAAGGGAGCAAAGAGACTCGACTTGGAGTGTCGAAGACTCCGGATTCGCAGTTGGTTCAAGTCCGGCGGTTGTCACACTCAACGCTCTTGAGTCTCTGAACAAATGCAAAGCGGGTTCGACATTCGATATGCCGACTTTCCCAATACCCATTTCTTTCCCATCACCTCAAACCGTAGTGCCAATCGTTGCCGGGATTTATTCTACAAGCCAGATGGTTCACTTGCGGAGCTACGTTACCCGCTCACAAGTGATGTTTACTTAACCTTCGCCCCTTATAACCGAGCAGCCCAGCCATCTAGCACATTCTCTCACGATGCCAGCATCACTCTACGTTTATACAGATCACCGACAACTGAACACCCGGCAACAGACTTTTCAGGACCCTGCAAGGGGATGACGTACACGCCCACGGAGATAGTCAAGCGGCCCTAGCTGCGGCCGGAGCTGGTGAAGCCGGAGATGCAGCCAGCATCCAACTCACCACCACCAACCAGTACGAGTACGAAGACACGAGCCAACCGAATTCACATACTTTGTCATTTGTTTTTGTTTTTGTCAGCCTAGACAGGAGGAACCGGACCGCGACGACACGCGACAGCATCGTTACAGAGCTTGCATTGCCCTTGCCAGTCAGCATGCACCTTTTGAAACGGCCCCTGAGACTTGGCCGTCCCCTGCGGGCCCCGTTCAGACGCCTCCCTCCCCCAGAACGCTCACATCGCAGGCAGCAAAAAACCTTTACTCCTCTCTTTTGGGTCTGTTTGGGTAGTTATCCTACGGCATTTGATTCTCCATCCCGGTGATGAAAGGAGTCGATTGTACTGGTCCTGTGTAATTTGACATTAATAAGAGTGTGACGTAGCTGCCGGAATGACATAGGGCACAAACGGCATCTAAATATCCACTCTGTTCATCCAAAGGTTGTGCAACCCCGACGGCCGAGCCTCACCAAAAGGTTACGTTTTACCATTGGAACGTTGCTGTGTCGTTATTTGCTGCCGGGGAGCCTTGCATGCATGCATGATTGTAGTCTAAAGAAGGCTACACAAGATCGCCGGCGGCGAGATCTAAAGTGTGGGGAGTCAGGCCACCAAGCATTGACGGGCCGAGAGCAAGGGATTTGTCGACCCCCGATCCTGTCCCGGCACCTGCCTTTGCGAGTCAGCGTGATCATATCGCACTGATAGAAGTCAAAGGCGCAGGGGACATGTGCACGGTGGTCAGCGAACTAGGTCTCGCATTGTGGAAACAAGTGACCCGTAGCCATGGAGCGCTTGAAGAGTTTCTTGGTGTTGGGATAGGGTGAAGCGGCTTGATAGGCGAGGCACACGGTTGTTTGGAGTTGCTGAGGGTGGTGTCGCGTGGCCGCTGGTTGCTTAGCCTTAACGGCGTTTCATGTGAACAGTTGCCTCAGTGGCCGCCATTAAGGGACGGTAATATTCCGTGCCGCAGGTCTGGGGAGGGAGCCGCTCTGTTGACTACGAATCATGTTCATGCTGAAGTCGCGGTGGTGGTCAAGGCAATTCTTGCCGAATGATGACTGTTAGACTGTTTCGGGCCGCTTGCGGGTTGGCCTGACCTTTTGGCGACAAGGTGAGTTCAGACGATAGAAGGTCTTGATTCTCGGGCGGGTCGGACGCCGTTGACCCAGACCAACTTGTTGCACGGGTTTGGGTCCCCGGAGCAGGCCCGTTGCCCTCCGAGCCGGGCTCCGGGATTTTAAACAGCAATGGACGGAGCCACTTGAAACTGTGACGTCTTCGACCCTGAAGATCACTGCATATCCCCCATGTTTTCTTGGCCAACCTTTCCGCACCCCGGAACGTTTCGGATCACGCAACCGAGTTCGGCGGCCGGAAGCAAAGACTTTTGACTTTTTTTGCTGTGTCTGTCAAGAAGCGTGAAAGCCAGGTTGATGATGACTTGCCGGGCGGCCAACCCCATGACTCTCTGCGCGACTTGCTGTTCAGCAACCTTTGCTGGGGGAATTTCAGGGGCTGGGCTAGCCGCGACGTGCAACCCAATCATGGGCCGTAGAAATTGTTTTCGCCCACGCGAGTGAATATCGCAACAGAAAAGCGGAGCTCTGGCAATGACTTGCATAAGGCCCATATTTTGAAGGGCCCAATCACCTCGAACATCTGCCCGTTGAGCGCATTCGGGGCTACCTGGAATCCCTGGTAACGTTGAATCAATTTCTTGGAATAATGTGGAAAGATTTCCAAGGTGAGATGTCGATTCCACCGTCACACCGCTCTTTCGTCTTTATAAAGCCAGCGTGGGTTTTTTAGAGCAGGTTTCCTGATGCGACGTGTGGTGAGTATCGGCGGCCCCATTGGCGGCTTGAGAACTGAGAACCCGTCTCTTGATAGCGTCCTCATTTCGGCTCCGGCGGAGGAGGCGACAAGACCGGGCCTGCTCCGAAAACTCGACTGACAAGTTGTTGTTACTTTAGGGGTTGTTGCGTTGCATGTGCCTTTCCGCTCGACCCGAGAACTGTGGCTTGCCGAGATGTGGGCTTGCGTCGAGGAACTCACGGCACTGGCGGGCGATATCACAGTGCGTCTGTCGGTAGGCGTCTTCCCGGGTTCCTGCATACTCACAAATTGTATGTTGCGACGGGAAGGGTTGGTTGGGACGGCATTCATGAAATCGAGACGGCTCCTGTGCGCCTGCAATGAGCCTTTCTCTCGCAGCCCCTGCATGAGACCATCGCTAATTCGTGGGGGTCGTGGTCCGTGGGAAGTGGCCGTTGCTTTCCCCGCAATTTCGTGGGTTGACAAACCATTCGAATGTCGCAGGGCGTTCACTGATAAAAGACCTCACATACTGTGTAGATGTAACTTGAGGAATTACGAATAGGTACGGGGTGAGAGATCTGCTCATGCTTTCCCTAACCATCAGGAACCTGGAGGGACTCGACATTTCCGAGTTCGAACTCTGAAAGTCTTGGGAAAGGGTCGCTGGTCTTGGCATCTGTGGGGAATTTGCATGGGCGAGACTTGGCTTGCAGAGACCCGCCTCTTGTCCACATGCGTACCGCCCTAACGAAAAGTCTCGGGTTGGCAGAACCGTTAGTGTTAAAAGATTCCTCAAGCTGAATGGCACGACGATTGAGCAAGACGGATGAGTTGATCGCGTGATATTTCTGGTGTGCTATGTCAAATTGTGATTGAAGAGAATCAGGGGATATCCAACCGCTCTTCTAGAACGGACATGGGCGGTTGCTTGCGGGTGTAACAACGATGCCGACATTAAAGGAATCGAGGTTGTTTGGATAGGTAGGTAGGTAGGTAGAGTTGCTAGCCCGGCCGCGGACTTTAAAAGCGAGAGTCGGGGCCCGGATAAATCTAGCAAAGGTCCTTGGAACGGCGAGTTGTTTCAGACAGTATTTGACTATCCGGCCCAGGTCTGGGTGCGAGAGAGAGCAGAGACCGAACCTATCTGTTAGTGAGTGAGGTGGGACCTTTGTGCTGGGGACCGCATGACAGCCACCCCGCAAGGCCTGTTACTTGTGTGATTTTGGCCATTTGAAATCATACTTTAGACTGCGAAAAAGGCCAGAAGTCAAGCCGTAACAGCGCTTGCTGTCTGCCGGTTGACGACAAAGACACCTCGGCGTTGGAGGTACTGTTTGCGCAACTTCCATCCCATCCTGGGAGCAAAACGTTGCCGCCTCTTCCCCTGCGTTGTGGGGTTCGGGAATTAGGGACAGAGGGGCAAGCGAAGGAGAGTGGGGCTGCCGAGACAGTGCCTGCCTCTAAGTCCATTTTGGAAACCCGCCTCAAGCCCTCCTGAGCCCGTCTCGCCGCGTCTGGGCCGTAGAACGGACCTCTTGTCTTGTCTCGATTGCCCAGATCTCGCTGCAGCGTGCCGCGGTATCAGACGAAGCCCATCCATCGGATCGCAACTCGCACTGCAGGTTCGGAGACGGGTGTCAAGCGGGCAGTTAGGTAGTCAAGCTTCCATTCCCCCGGTCAAGTGTCAGACGAGTTACCGGAACGTGTCTTGAAGACCGACCGGGCTCGATCATCATCAACTGCAAGCGGATGCACCTGCAGCAATGACTTGCCTAGCCTTTCCAAACTCTGTTTTAGCGCCATAGGCGTGTGCACTTCCATCCCGGGCAGTTTAAAATTATCCATTCAAGAGCCCCATATTTCCTATCATCGCCGACCACGACGTCGACGTGTGCTTCTTCAAACGACCTTCTCCCGTCATCGCGGTGTCGGTATTACGGCCGCCTTGTTTTATTATTTTGATGTTGGCAGTGGTCGAGTGAGATTGATTTATCGATGCGACACCGATTCGGGTCACCCAGGGATCTCGAAACCTCCGCGAGCTGTCCTGCTTAATCTGCCGCCCCCCTTTTCGCCCACGAACCAGGGTCTCCACCAGCCTGTTGCACGGCGGATTCCCTGTCGCACCTTCACGACCACCTGGCTGACCACCTTGGCTCACCACCATCTCACCAGCCCTCCGCGGCCACACACCTGGGCTCTATGGACTCGACCTTCCAGGACAGCCCTACCATCGGGAGAACAGTGCGCTACACGGCCAATAGCCCGTTGCCAACTCGGCCGGACGCCGCAAGCTCGAGGTACGGGCCTTCCGTTCGCTCCTCCTCCATAACACCGGCCCCACGCCGTTGATTGGTCTTCTTTCTTTCCCTTTCGCTATTTTCCTTGTTCCTAAACCACTGGGCTTTGCTTGGGACGCTTTTGGGCGGGGTCATTGCAGAAGTGTTCTTCCCAGTCGACAGTGCCCAAAAAGCAGACGCGAAGTTGGTGCCGAAGATAATTTGAGGCATTGCTTTTTTTTTTACCTACTTACACGATCCACCACGACCACCACGGGAGCACTCTCCCGTATTGCCCGCGGAGAACATTTTGCCCCGGTGTCTTGCCGGCATCTTGCCTGGCATCTGCGCGGTGGTACAACGACCGACTCGTGCCGCGACCGTGGTGTCCACAGTACTGACCCAATCGCTTTGTACGTTTTAGGTCGAGACGGGTACCCGCAAGCCCACTCTCTACAGACTCGTCCTTCCCTGATTCTTCTGCTGCTGTCCCACGAATCGTCACCACCGCGGCCCCAGAAGACGATTTTTCGCAGCCGTCCGAGAAGACGTACTTCGACAGCGATTCCTCAGGGAGCACCACCCCCGAGGCGACAAGTACTGGGTGCGTCTCCGGCGAGGATCCGTTCTCATCCCTTGTCGCCCGTGTGGCGGACGCGCGTGCGCTGACAGTTCGTGTACTAGACCGGCGCCGTCTCCCAACTCGCCCCGTTTTCCGAATGAGGTGCGCAGTGTTTCCGACCCCCTCGTAGCCGCACAACCTCCTGGGGGCCCTCCTTCAAGCCGACCTCCCATCATGCCTGGTCCGGCAGGCGCGCGGGCAGAGCCCGCCGGGAACCAACCACGGAACTCATCGATAGACTCCGCCATCTCCGCGATTTTCTTCGAGGTCCAGCCTCCAGAAGACAGCCCAGGACGGCACCGTTGGGCCGAACGAAATCGCGAACCTGGTTAAGACGGCCGGCAGCCCCGAGGCAGTCATTCAATATTTACTCAAAGAAAAGCAGTCGCAGTCTCAGCAAAATGCGCAGCTCTGGAGGCTCGTGGACAAGCAGAGAGCCATGATCCTAGGTCTCAATAAGGATCTTGAGCGGGCGTTGAAAGATAAAGAAAAATATAGAAAGAAGTTGAAGGAGGTGTTGGAAGGGTCCGAAGCGCCGCTGGCACTACAATTTCGGCGTCAAGCGGCCAAGAGGTGAGCCTGAACGGTGCCGACACTGCGACTTCATCACCCAAGGAACAAGTATTCGAAGTTCCCGTGTCACCCAAGACATTGGACTCGGATGACCATAAACACTCGCCCATTGACGTTTCCCTGGCGCCGTATCCCATAACCCCACCAGCACACCAAACGACTGCCACCAACACCCGACCGACCGTTCGCGAGATGCTCGATCCATCGCACACGATGCCGAGGCCGAGCGAACATGCACTGGACCGGTTCGACCACGAAGAGGAGGAGCGCGAGGCGGAGGTTGCATCGAGGCGGTTGGAAGAGTCGAAGGAGATTCCGATCATGATGAACGTCCCCGCCTCCCGTACTGCACCGCGCGAACCGCCTCGGATGCCGCCGCCGCAGCCCCCTGTCGGGCTACCAGAACGGTCGCCGAGGCCCGACGATGGTGCTTCCAAGTTCCCTCCACCCGCTGCGCCGCCGCCGCGAAAGCCTCCTCCAGCCCCTCTCCACCTGAAGAACGCGAAAAAGCAGCCGAAGCCCGCGGCGTCGAAGCCGAAACAGAAGTCCAGGCCGGATGTCGCGGACGAGGACCCGGAGACGGATACCGACTACGACCATATCCTCGAGGTAGACGAATTGAAGCCCGACGACCGCAGAGGGCGAAGAAGGACACGAGAGGAGGACGAGCGGGAGCGTGAGATCTTGGCCAGAAAAGAGGCAGAGTTTCGCAGCTTGTCGAAAAAGAGCAAGCAGAGCAGCAGTCGGAAGACAACGGACAAGGCCGAGGCGCCTACGAACGAGATGCCTGCCACCCCCAGGCTAGTCCAGACCACCAAACTGCTCCCGCCACGGGAGCCAGCGTCCCTTGCGGGGGTCCTGAACGGCGCGCCCGACTCTCGACCCATGCCTTCGGCGTTGCTGAGCCCCGGCCTCCCTTCGAGCCCTAGGCCTACCCAGCTGACGTCCCCGGTCAACTCCCCTCCGCTCTCCCCTCTGGGCTTTCCCAGTGTACCGCTGTCCCCCCGGCCACCGCGGGCGCCTATTCCGTTACCGCCCAACACGCCTCTTTTGACACCTTCTCCTGCCGGAGATCCATTGGTGCTGAAGTCGCCCAGGCCACTGAATATTGTCAAGCAGGAAGACCAAGGGTATGGGACACCGAGCCCTACCAAATCTAGCACCGACAGTCCTGTAGAGCGGACCAAGGTTTTCAAGGGCTTCGTTACCGAGGAGTACCCCGACCTGCTCCTCCCCCCTAACGCGCTTCCGTCCATCGACATTCGGGTTGCGTCGTCTCGTATGAAGCCTTCCAGGGCCAGCCTAATTTCGTTAACGCAGTTGGAGGAAGACCCGGTCTTCACTCTGGCGATTTACTCGAGAGCAGACGGCGGAGAACTTTGGCGAATCGAGAAGGACTCGGCGTCGCTCGCTAAGCTGGATCAACGGTTGAAACAGTGCCCTGCTTTCACTGCGAGGACGCCCGATCGGTCGCTTTTCAGTGGCCATGCACCGGCAAAACTTGATGCCCGGCGCATTGCCCTCAACCAATACCTGGACGAGCTGTTGAATACCCCCTTAGACAATGCCACAGCGCTCGAGCTTTGCAAGTACCTGTCTACCGGCACGTTGCCGCCTAACGCAGACGAGATTGGAGGCTCCACTGGCGAGAACAACGCCGAGTCACAGAGAGTCGGGCCCGGCGGCCGGCCGTTCCGCAACGGCTATCTCACGAAGCGAGGCAAGAACTTTGGAGGCTGGAAGGCGCGGTACTTTGTCCTTGACGGCCCCCTCTTGAAGTATTACGAGACTCCCGGAGGGGCACATCTCGGTACCATCAAGCTCCAAAAGGCACAGATCGGCAAGCAGGCCCACCACACCAACGACGGCACGCCGGCCCAGGGCACCCCTGCGGAGGAGGGCGATAACCAGTATCGCCATGCCTTCCTGATCTTGGAACCCAAGAAGAAGGATCCGAATAGCGTGACGAAGCACGTGCTGTGTGCGGAGAGCGACAAAGAGCGTGATCTGTGGGTTGAAGCCTTGCTCCGCTGGATAGACTACCGCGATCCGGACGACGAGGAACACGCCAAGAAGGAACACGCCCACGAGCGGGGCGGTGACCGCGGTAATGGGAAGAAGAAGGCGGCGCATGCCCAGGCAAAATTGCAGCAATCGCAGCAGGGCGCCGCAGTAGATGAGAATTTGATCGGGGTCAGTTACGAGGCCACCAAGCAAGGCGACGTCCCGCATCAAGGGGGCGCAGCGAAGGGGAAGCCATACGGGCAGCTAGATCATGAGTCGACGCACAGCCAGTCAACGACATCTTCTTACACCATCTCGGCACCTCGCGACCCACAAGTGATATCGCACACGGAGTCGTGGGGCAGCAAGCTCGGCATGGGTCTCACGCCGCCAACGCAGGAAGAGAAGAAGGCCAGGAAGCGCAGCTTTTTCGGTTTCGGTCCGAAGACGAGGACGTCGAGCGACGGCCAGGACTCACTTTTTGGGAGCGAAGGCGGGAACTCTCAGCCGACGGGCGGGTACCACGGACCTATTCGGCAAGCCTTTGGTGCTACGCTGGCGGAGGCTGTCCGATACAATGCCCCGGTGGACGTTAGGGTTCCGCTTCCTGCCGTCGTCTACCGGTGCATCCAGTATCTCGACACCAAAAATGCCATCTTTGAGGAGGGCATCTTCCGCCTGAGCGGGTCGAACCTGGTCATTAAGCAACTCAGGGAACGGTTCAACGTTGAGGGAGACATCAACCTGCTCACCGACGAGCAGTACTACGACATCCACGCCATCGCCTCATTGCTTAAGATGTATCTCCGCGAGCTGCCGAGCACGATCCTCACCAATGACCTGCGCACACAGTTTATCGCTGTTACGGAGATGACCAACCAAAAAGAGAAGATGGCTGCCCTTGCCGAGCTTGTCGAGCGTCTCCCACAGGCAAACGCAGCGCTCCTCAAGTATCTGATCTCATTCCTGATCAAGATTATCGACCACTCGGACGTGAACAAGATGACGGTACGGAATGTTGGCATCGTATTTTCGCCGACGCTCAACATCCCGGCGCCAGTGTTCGCCATGTTCCTGCAGAACTACGAGGTCATCTTCGGGATCGATCCGTCCGAGTACGAGCTGCCCATGACTGAGCCCGAGTACACGCAAGAACGCCGTCCTTCGCTACCTGCGTCGTTTCAAGAGCGCCGACCCTCGGATGGGCGGCCATCCACCTCACACAGCGATTCCCCCCATAGGCAACGCCTGATGGAGTCGCTCGAAGCGCACGGGAACCGGAGCACGCCGACCCCGCCGCCGATGTCGATGCAGCAGATGGCGCAGATGAACGCGGCTACTCTTCACTCGAGGAGCACCCCCACCCCGCCTCCCCAGCGGCAAATGAACCACGAGATGGGCGGCGGGCACCACCCTTCGATGAGGCCTGCGTACGAAGGTGGCTTCGATCCCAGCCAAGCACATTCGGGACACAGGGCAAGTCCCGGGTACGATAGACCGACGTACGAAAACGGGCTGGCGCCGGCGCCCTATGAGCAGCCGTACCGCAGCCGACGCGAAAGCGCCATGTTTATGGGTTCGCTGAGCCAGCAGCCGTCCAAAAGCCGGTTGCGTGAGGAAGCCCAGTATTAAGGCTTCTTTCGCAGATTCTTTTCACTCTGGGACCTCCTTCCCACGGCACACATACCCACTTCTAGTGCCGCTGTTGCTTCTTTCTCAGTGAAGATATCATTTCGACTTTTGATACCTGATTTTTCCGCCTCTTCTCGTTCTTTTCTTCCTATTGATATTGAACGACGACCAACGTCGCCTTGCGTCACGACCGACCTACCGCCCTAGTACCACGACATGTACGATTTCATTGAACGAGCGAGCCTGCGAGCCGGCATGTTGCACAGGAGACATTTGCGAAGATCATGTCATGTCATATTATTTTCATGGATACACGCGCGCACACATAAGCGGATGATGATGGCCATTTCTGGACATCTCCGCAGCTATTATGTTTGTTTTAGCTTTTGTTTTTGGCTCTCGTTACCCGACGGGTTGAATCGTCTATCCATCTGTTTTCTTTTTAGCTTGCTTCGTTCTTCTTTTTTATCTGTCGATTCTGCGGTGCAGCGGAGGAGATACCACCAAGTTTGTTTTTGGATGGGGCGATGTAAGCTATATACACATGTATGTACGTAACTGTCTAATATGGGATATCATGGTGCTTGAAACACGCAGTTCGTTGGGTTACTTGGTCACATGTCTGGTCCAATCTGTAAATGTTGACCATTGTAAGTGCATGGAGTCTGTGGGGCCATTCTCAGTTCCATGCCAAGACTGTCGGCTTCGTCGGCAGTTTTGGTTCGAACCCCGCTTCCAAGACTGGCCATACAGGAAAGAAAGTCGCCAGGGGTAAGGCCTTCCTCGCCAGAGCGCTGCCCACCTTAACTGGCACGACTTGGTTTCTGGTTGGCCGAGGAAAACTGTGACGCAGAATGTCGGGATTGGTAACTCCGACCATCTAGCGACAACGCTCGCGATCGGTATCTCGGCCACAACATCGCCGGTGCCAATTCCAAATCCGCATAAGTCAACTTTAGGAGCTGCTCGCACGCATGGATCACAGGCTAGATCCATTGCTCCGCAATGCGGCAGCCTCGACACCACCCGCGGTTCCGGGTCGAGACATCGCCTCCAAATCGCAACAGCCATTCATGCCGTCATGGGGACCATCGGACACATCCCATCAGCCATCGGCGCAGGCACACGCGCATCAACAAAACGCGCGCGCCATTGCCCAGAACCGTGATCCCATGACGGCCACCTTCTCGCCCCAAACCCCCAACTCCTCCACCACCACCGCCCCGACCCCGTCCACCTTGGACCACCACAGCACCACCGCCGGCAGCCGCCACCCCTCCACCGCGACACCCCCCACCCAAAATCACCACTACCCCGGCGGCCCCGGCGGCGGCCCGGGCGCCAGCAGCAACAACGGCAGACCCTACGCGCCCCCCGATTACGACCACGACCGCGACCACGAGTCTCCCTCAGACCCAAACCGCTCCCCCTCCCCCGACCACTCCCCCGACGCGGAGCAAGACCAAGACCAAGACCAAGACCGCGCCGCGGGAGGCGGCCTCAACAACCCAACAGACCCAAAAAAGCCCGGTGCCTGTGAGTCATGCCGCGGCCTCAAAGTTCGCTGCGACCCGGACCCGGCCAACCCGGACGGGTCCTGCCGGCGGTGCGCCAAGGGCAAGCGGTCCAGCGTCGTCACCCAGCGTACGCGCAAGCGCCAGAAGAAGACGGATAGCAGGGTCGCGGAGCTGGAGAAGAAGATTGAAAAACCAACGGCCAGTCTGGTGGCGACGAGGGGGGCCGTTGGGGGGGTGGGTGCTGTGGTTTCGGGGGGGACGGGGTTGGCTGGTGGTGGTAGTTCTGGTGGTGGTGATGGTGGTGTGTCGGGTTTGGGAGGGGTGGGAGTTGGGGGTGGTGGTGGGGCTGGCCCCGGGCAGAGAGGGAGTTGGGATAGGGAGGCCGAAGTCGTAAGATACCCGCCGTCTGTTCCACGTCGTCGGTGCCCAGCTGTGACGGGCGTAGCTGTCGGGCGGAAAAGACGACTCAGTGATTGTCCAGAATTGTCGACGTACGACCCTCGTCTGCTGCCACGCGTGATATCGCGCCATCGAGTTCGGCCACCCCGCAACCGGGCTGCCAAGCTTCGGAAGAGCAACGGGAACCGGATGTTGTCGACAAGGGCTTGCTGACGATGGGCTGGCGGCTGACAGCTGGACCGCTACAATGTCCACATGTGCCCACACCTACCGGGGGTGGTGCTGCCCCCCGACTTGACGGCCGCCGAATTGAGGAAGACCAAGCCGGTTCTGTTCCTGGCTGTTATGGCTGGGGCGGCGTCCGAGCTGCCCAACCTACAACGGGTGTTGACCAGGGAGTTGATGCAGCAGTTTGCCGACAAGATCATCATCCGCGGTAACAAGAGCCTCGAGCTGGTGCAGGCCATTACGGTCGCTGTCATCTGGTACTGGCCGCCTGAGCGGTTTGAAGAGCTCAAATTCTACCAGCTGGTTCATGTCGCTGCCGTTATGGCAATCGAGATTGGTCTCGGGAGGAAAAAGGCTGCGAAGGGTGGGTTCAGGAAACACATCGCCCATGCCTGGCGCGACCATCCGCTCCGCAAACAGTCTCCGCCCGATCCGACTACTACCGAAGCCCGCCGGGCCTGGCTGACGTGCTACTTCATGGCGACTAACACTGCCATGGCGTTGCACCGTCCCAGCTTGATCCGTTGGACACCATTTGTTGCCGAGTGCATGGAGGCCCTAGAGACTGCGCACGACGCGGCTCCGACAGACAAATACCTGTGCCATCTCGTGTGGTCACACAAGGTAGCGGAGGATATCGGCATCCAATTCTCCATGGACGAGCCCTCGTCGACGCCGAACCTCGCCGAGGCCAGAACCCAACATGCGCTTAAGGGGTTTGAGCGAGAGCTTGAAAAATACAGCAATTCAGTCCCGAAAGAGCTACGAAAGCGTACGTTAATCTTCTAAGCAAACTACTATGATCCTTCACAAATGGGCTATACTGACAAGCCCTGGTCTAGCATCTCTTCAAATGAGCTTCCACGTTATCAGCCTCTACATGCACGAAGTAGCCACCCACAACGACGCCGCCGATGACTGCAAACTACACCCCAGCGAGACGCAGCTCGGGATGGACGGCACGCTGTCGGTCGCGCATATTAACGCTCTATCGGCTTGCCTCACGGCTATCAACGGCATCTTTGATCTGTTCTTGTCACTTGACGTCCACACCATCCGCTGCCTTCCAGTGTTCAACTTCGTGCGGGTCGCCTACGCAGTCGTCGTCCTAATCAAGCTTTATTTTGCGGCGTCGTCACCCAAGAGCGACTTGGGGAAAGTCATAGACAAGGACGATATGAAGGTTGAACTGCATCTCGACCGTCTGCTTGAACAGTTCCGGGCGACGGCCGCTGGAGATAGGAGCCGGCCAGCGGCCAAGTTCCTCGTGGTGCTCGTCATGATCCGGTCGTGGTTCCACAAACAGAAGCTGAACCAAAACGGGCGGAGCGCAGAGACGAATACCTCCACCGCAGAAGCCCCTTTGCCCCCCCACTCGCGCCCGAGCGTCGCGGAACGGAGCAACGCTGCTCCCATCTCCCAACCACCTCAACAACAACAGCAACAGCAACAGCAACAGCAACCGCAACCGCAACCGCAACCGCAACAGCAACAACAAGATTACCCACCCACGGCCAGCACAGGGCTACAACTCCTCTCCGAAATAGCCACCAACAAATCGGCCAGCGGTCCCCGCCCCTCCACCACCTCCCACTTCTCGCTTCCCAGCTCTACCCCCCTCACAAGCAGCACCCCCACCGGGCCCTGGCTTAGCCGCCCGCAGCTCATGTACGACCCCACCAACACCTCGTCACCCAGCTCGGGCCCGTCCACGGCCGATAACACCGCCGGCGGTCCCGGGTCCTTTATGGTCGGCGTCCCGCCTCAGCCGGGCCCCAACATGGCGGCGAACCTCTCCCTCCCGTGGCTGAACAGCGCGTTTTCAAGCGTCGATCCCGAGTATGAATATGCTACGTTTGGCGACGGGTTTGCCCAGGCCATGGACTGGACGCTGGGCGGGTTTGGGGAGAGCGCCGTCAGGAATATGATGCAGGACTCCGGGCCGGACCAGACGGCTTGGTTCCCGCCGATGGGCGAGGGCTTGGATGCGATGGATGGTGGGGGTGCGGCGGGTGGCGGGTTTGGGTTTTGAAGAGTGTATAAGCTAGTGAGTGAATGGGGGGTTTTGGGATGGGATGGGACGGCAAGCTGGCGTTTATTAATTTGTTTCTCAATTATATTGTATTACTTAGTATGATGGTGGATCGTAATCGCTTGTTGAGGCGGGCGTTGGGGTTGTATGCACTAGGGAGATTAAATATAGAAGAGACAATTTATAAAAGATATACTTTGGTAGAAAGTATAAGAGCAAAAGCTCACCGACTAGCCCCCTTCGCGGTTGAAGGGAGGTAGCCGGCTACGAAACCCCCTCGGGGGGTTTACTTCGTGTGCAGCCCGGTGATACCCCGTCAGGTCAATGGGGGCTGCTCGTTCTGCATTTGGAGGACTCCGCCGGCGTCCCAAACGCCTCCACAGAAATCCCCAGGGCAACTTCGTGGCTCGAACCTGTAGCCTCCTCTTACGGCCGAGTAAGGTATCTAGCAGGTGAACCAGTTGCCCGTGGGGCGAGGACCACCGCCGGTAACCGCTAGGCTACCCGGTCTGTGGCCCTCGTTGGAAATCGACTGCGCCCACCTTCCTTATAATGCGCGGGCGCTCTGTTCAGGTAGGAGCGGACTTTCCAGGGCAAATTACACTGTACACGAACTTCAAGTCCAGCCACAAGAGCGCGGCTGTGTTCTACCGTACCTATATCCATGGTAACAATTCGGGAGTGTTGTTGAGCATCTATCGTGAGATCCCCCTCCCGTCAACAAAGATCTGAATCCACGTCTTGGTCGAAGCCCACCACAACAAGCATTTCACTTCCTATTTCCTCCTCTAAACCACAGCAAATTACTCACCCACTCGCCCGTTCAACCCCAAAGCCACATCCCACATCCACACCCGACCGACCAACCCGCTCCAACTTCTCAACAACCTTCTCCCCTTACCGAGCCCCCCTCCGCGCCTGCCAGTACGCAGACGAAATACCTATTCGACCACACAAACCGCAGCCTACCAGAGCTACAACTACCCGAGCCCGCGCAATCCCAATCACCCGAACGGCAAAAAAAAAAAAAAAGAACAAAGCTTCCACCACATAAAATAAAGCACGTCAAGTAGTGACAAACAACGCTCTGACGACGTAGCACACGGGCGAGGAGTAGTAACCTCATGAGGAAGCGGGAAGTGGTAGGTAGGCTACCGATACCATGGGAAGGGATATCCGACACAAAGAGCCGCTTGCTCTAGCATACTCAGACTGGCTAGGCTAGCCCCCGGGAACGGCTCGCGGTCCGCGGGCTACGAGTGCAAGTTAGTTGGTCGGCTTTGGGCATCGGTCTTGGGGGTTTGGCTTGCGGGATGGGTGGGAGTTGCTGCGTAATATGGGAATCAGAGAGAGTGGTTTGGATATTGTTTGTCGTGTCTTTAACTTGGCATCGAGACAGCAGGTCTTTGCTATAGGAGTGCTTTCTGCTCCTATTGACCTTGACACAACCGCGATCGGGTTGGGTATCACATTGGTGTACTCGTCTGTTTGTGATTGACATATGTATATATGATTCCAAACTGTGGTATCGTTTCGATCTCTGATCTCCGCTTACGGCAATCTCAATATCGCTCAACGCCAGCATAGACCGTGATGTTAAAAGAAAGGAAATAGCAAGAAGCAAAACAAAACCGTCCCGCGCGAAGTAGAAAAATTCGAAAGTACCGGCACACGGGAAACAGCTTCCCGCTAAGAAAGAGCTCTCTGCCATGCCACCCGGCCCGGCTGACCACCCGACGTCTTTATATCCGAAATGGCGCAAGCGCCGTCGTGCCGGCGAGTTGGATGGGGATGTCCAACTTCAAAGAATAGCTACCCGCCCATCGTTTCCCCTTTCCCCTCTTCGGGACACAACCCAAAGAGCTTGTATGAGGGATCGCATCCACCAATCACCACATCCCCGGTGCCGGCCGCCCGGGTCACGGGCACTCTCGACAAAGCTGGGAGAGTAAGAGGAACGCAGAAAGAGAGGACGACGAAAGTAAAGCAGCGCAGATGACGAGACTGATGGTGATGGAAAGACAAATAACTCCATTTGAATCATACACCGTCCAACCGTATTGTTTCCCATCCTTCCCAGTCTGGAACTAACAGAGCAGTAACAACCAAGGCCCAAGAATCCCGAAGCCCTAATCGTACAGTATATGTTGGATAACATGGTCTCGCCATGTTTCCTTGTCTGAGTTGTCTTGCCCGCCCTGGCCGAACCGTCGCGGCCTGTAGCCCTGTAATGAACCCGCACCTCGCTGCTACCTCCCCGGATGGAACGATTCGACCCTAACGATCTCCCCAGAACTCCGTTGATTGCTTTGCACAAGTTCCCGCCGCCTCCAGGAGAGTACCTCTCCTATAAAGCCACAAGCTCGATTGAATAAATTGCGCCGTAATTCTCCTGAACGAAAGGAAACCATGGCAGGGTGCACCCTATTTGGGGCCCGCCGCTCCAAGACAACGCCGCGAAAGTAGCAAAATCATGTGATGTAAAAGTGACTCGCCGATAGTCAGACGGTAGTGGAATGTGCGTATGCACACATGGAATGGGACCTCAGATAGCCATCGTGATCGACACGACCTAGTCCATGTAGAAATCGCCCTTCAGAATCCTCTCCTGGAAAGCATCGGGCTTTTGGGGCCCCCGCGGTCGCGGGGGCTGTGCCGGAGGTGCGGGCATGTCAGAGACGGATTTGGCCCGGTCATGGCGAGGGCTGCTGGGAGCTGGGATTGGGCCGGCCCGGGGAGGGGATCCACCGAGACCCGAACCCAAGGAGAACGAGGGCCGGGGGCCGGAGGCGACGGTGCTCTCGGCGCGAGACCTAAGCTGATCGGACCAATTGAAGCCTTGGTCTGATCGAGCAGAAGTGGGGCAGAAGTCAGAAGCTGTTCTGGACTGGTTTGCAGTGCTTGCCTGGGAAGAGATCTGGCCCCACGTGTAGTTCCCAATGCCGGAAGAGGGCAGTGGCGGCGTGGGTGGGCTACCGAGGGCGGTGCTGCTGCGACGGACCGACTGGGTCTGCCTACCATTGTTGCCAGGAGTAGTGGCGCTTCGCGAGCCTCGCATAGCTTGAGAGGCGCCGAAACTCATGCGGCGGGAGAACGGGGTCACCGGCGCGGTGCGGGTGCTCTCCTCATCCTCAATAGCGTTCTCGTCGATCGAATCCGAGTTCGTAGACAGACTACCGCGGCGAAAGAGGGCCGAAGTCGTCGGGGAAGTGCCTGAAAGCCCAAGCGTTGTGACAGAGAGCCTCCGGCGTTGATCGTTAGCGGCGGAGGAGCTTAGTGGAGTGGAAAAAGGTGCCGTGGTGGGTTGCGAGACCGAGTTGTTACGGAAGAGGTTGGTGAAGGCGCTCGAGGTGATAGAACCGCGCCGCTGCCGAGCCATGTCGTTTACGTTGGTGGTCGAGTTCCCGTTATCGGAAGACATGGTGAAGAAATAGACGTGAAAGTCTGAGAAGGCTGTGGGCTTATATCGAGTTTGTCGGGTTCCTCAACGCGAAGCAGGCCGTGGGGGTGGCCTGTCGCAGAGCGGAAGTGGTTCTCGGTCGAATGGGGTGTCGTGTGGGTAAAATCGCAAACCTCGTACGTGTTGCAGATTGGGGTCGTTCGAGTTGCGTGTGCCGGCGGCGGGAGGTGGTGGAGGCGAAACCCTTAAATAGGTGATGGTGTGGGGGTCGAACGATGATGAGGGTGGTGTAATGCCGGGATATCGGTCACTTGGGTTTTGCCTTTCTTTGTCAAACCACTGAGCAGGTTCGATCGGCAGCCCCTCGTTCGATTGGGACAACTCGGCGTCTTTCCTGCTCAACGTGAAGGCGCGAGTCCAGGGCAGGGAACGTTGCGGTGACCCGGGGGATCCTTTGTTTTGCCGTGCGTGCGAGTGTGTAATCCGCCGCTGGCCGAAGTCTGGACCAGGTCCGGTCCGGGGGAGTGGGCTCAGGCGGGGTATTTCTGGTACGAGCGTACTGGCTCGATTAATGCGTTGTGGATTCGTCGAGGCAACAGTCTGGGGGCGATGGAGTTGGCAAAAGATAGGTAGGTAAGAAGCAAAAGGGAGAGCAATGGCACAGGATATTGAATTAAAAAGAAAAGGAATGGCAACTCCTTCCAGCTTCTCGAGGCATGCTTGCACCATCGTGCCATCCCCCCGAGGCGTTGGTCACCGCACTTGCCCCGAACCAGCGCGGAATGCCGCTATCAGGGTGCCAGCAAGGGTTGCCAGCAGTGTAATTGGCTACCGTGGGCGAGAGTGGTACCCAATATGACTCAACAAGCCAATGATGTGTGCAGAATTCTGGGAGTTCTTGCCCCACGCACCAGGGGAGCCCCGGTCCTGACAATCCGATGCAAAGCCAAGCTTGAGCTCGACGTCAGGGCCCCACTATCAAGGCGCATCCAATTGCACTCCATGCGGGGTAGCAAGACCACTCCTGGGTGGAAAGAAGGAGCATTTCACAGCAACGCGCCTGCTTTTGGGGACATTGGGCACAGATTCCTGATCACACGTGGCCCGCCTGTGCTTCCCCCCCCGTCCCTTAAACTCTCCGATACAAAAGGTTCTTAGAAACAGTGTTAAACTGGAGGCTTCGGATGCATCTTGGCGTCGGGGTCGAGATGATCAATCCGAGCTTAACCAGATCAAGCATTTGGTGTGGATTCACTTACAAGTTACAACACAGGGACGACATCTTGCCACGAAGGTCTTCGCATTCCGATCCCGGACGGATATATACATACGCTCATTCGCTCGATACGGTAAATACATTCTTCGTGCATACCGGCTGTTTTTGCCACGAGCAGTGGCGCCTTGTCGAGATCTGCCCCTCCTTTCTGCTGCTCTGCAACGGTTTGCCAAACGAAGGGTGGCGGATCGGAGATCAGAGGAATGTAGGACCTTTCGCTTCTGACTCGCTCTTGAGTACGTACATACACCCACATATGCATCCATTTTGTGAACCGTGGCCACTCCAAAGTTGACATGCGGTTTCATCTGATTAAGGAAAAGAGATCAAGGAACCGATAGGACAAAAACTTCCGCCGACCGTTTCCCAGCCGTCGACCTCCCAGCTTCCAACTCCCAAGCTTCTTTGCCAGCGCTCCCTGTCTTGGCAAGTTGCGCGGTCGCACACCGTCCAGTCTGAGCGAACATGGAGTATGCTTGCAATTCCCATCCTTCCTCCGGGGAAGTTGGGGGGCATGCAGTAGCGTGGGAGTAGCGTGCAGGTAGCGCGAGGAGCATGGGTTGTCGTGGTGTTGTCTGCCATCTGCCAAGTCTGCGGTTGCGCTAGCGGGGCGTTGCTCGACGTCTGGCCAATTCCATGTCTCAGAAATATTAAGCACACGCAGCTTCCAGACTCAAAGACTGGCCAATGGCCCGGGACCCCTTCTTGAGATGGATCTGGTAACTTTTTCAGCAAAGCATGGATTGTCAAAACTCCAAGAGATTGGCGAGCGGGGAGGTTGTATCAGCAACTGCATTAGCCCCTCTCCACTTCCCCTCGACCAACCTCACTAACATCATCCGCATCGAATCAGTTCCGATGTCCTTGGGAGGAAGGGAGACGCGTGGCGACACATAATAAACGAAAGGGACCGGCACACAGATTCGTACATACAACCTTGTCGGATCAAATGGAGCGGGGGGTTCCATCTTCCTCTTGATGATGCACCGTGGCCGCTGTCTGCCAGATCACCTCAGCCAGTACTCCGCCTCTTGTTAGCTGGCCACCCGCTCGAGGCCTCGGTCTGTGCAAAGATGAATCCGTTGACCCATCCCATGGCTCTTGGTAGAACAAGGGAGGTAACCCGGAAACGGTTGGGCGGAGTTATGCTATTTCCACCCGGTGGAAGGGATGCACCTAACTCCGTATTGTTCAGGTTTTCTCCCCATCGCATCCCCATGCCTACCTTTCGTCAAAGCTTGCGGCCAGCTCCAGCCCCTGGTACCCTTACGCGCAGACCCAAAATCCAGGCCCCTCTCTCACCCTTTAACGGCTGCTCGTCAACCCTCCTCTGCCATCCACTCTTCTACCCTGCATGCCACCCACCTGCATCTGCCGTGTACCTTAGCCCGCAGAAAAAAGCGGGAACCGGTGGAACGGCAACACGCAAGTGAGTGGATGCAAATACTATCTCTCTACAGCGAGTCGTGTGCTCTGTTGGTTATTTTGTGTGGTTCGTTCGTTCAAGAACACTCCGCACTCGTCGTACTCGCACGAGATCTGTGATCTGCTTGTTGCATGAAACGCTTTCAGCCGAGCCTTTGCCTGCTGGCGTCATGATCATCACGTTCCAGCCCTAGGTAGTCCACTCCTAGCTTGGGATCGGCGAACTGTGTATTCAGTGGGCGTCTGCGTGTTTAGAAGTCCACTTGGGTAATGCGGTGGTATAGAGACCTCCTCTGCTCCCAATTCTCTTATGACGACATATGGTACTGAATAGCGATCTCGTGTGTTGTACGCCGCTACCTGGATATCCTGAAGTCATCCGAAGGCTGACAATACGGAAACTCAAGAGGCAAGAGGACATGCATGAAGTGGAGGAACAAGCGGAGTTCGCGTCCACCCACGCCCTTAGAGCTGTAGTATTACGAATCGAGATGAGATATTAATTCTCACTGTATTACATTATTCAGATGCGTAGTTATACAAGAGAGAATTTATCCTTACAAACTAAGCCTGACAATCTGCCCACAAATGACCTGTAGAGGCCGGAATCTAGTCCCAACAGAGTTCAACAGATGCCCCCGAGCTTCCCCCGCATTGATATGTGACCATGATGTAGCCCCGTCCCCTCGGAGAAAGTTAAATGCCGAATCCCGAACTGTTGACGTAGCAGTACTCCATCCATGCTGACCAGGTAACCGACGCCGTGAGGCCTGATGCAGTGTATGATGCGATAAACCTAATCCGAACAAGTAAGGAGATGAAGTAAATCGAAGGGCCGTTTTATCGGAGGGGCGTTATGAGGAAGGCGGCGGTTGTGGGGGTGGCGGGTGTGTCAGGAGGACTGAGAACCTCAATCCTCCGGCGGTCCCCGGGTCTTCCGAGTGGCTCGACCCCAGGTTCACCAATTGCCTCAGGCTCCGGTTCTGAAACGCTTCCTCCCACCGGGCCAATGTGGGCCGGGCCCCGTCCGACAACCAACCGTATGGCTGGGCGTTTGGCGCAGTCTGCGCCGGGGGCGACGTCGTGTCGTTCCCCCCACCGGCTCCGGCCGGCCCCGTGTCCGGGGGGTTATCGGGAGGCCACGTCTCCAAAGGCCGGAGTCCCCTCGCCTGGCGGGCGGCAAGGACGTCATTCATTATCCCCCACATGTCGTCCAATATCCCAAGGTCCGAAAAGTGCCGACCCTCCCTCTTGATGTTGGCCCACAACCTCTCCGACCACGGCGCGACCAGCACGTTCCGGAACCCCTGGTCAAGGACCAGCCACAACATCAGCCCGTCCACCAGATGCGCCAGCGACGCCCGCAGCGGCAGTAGCGACACCCCTCCATCCTCCTGGTCGTAGCACATGTTCAGCGCGAGTCTCAGCGGCTCGTACAAGCCCGTCATGTCTAGCTCCATCACGGTGTGGAGCGGGGTGTTCCGGAAGAACAGGACCAGTTGCAGGGCAATTTCGTGGAGCGCCGATAGCGCGTTTACCATCATGCGTTCGAACCCGATCGAGGCGCCCGCGATGTAGACGAAGGTGGCCGCACGGATAGCGGGGCCGACCAAAGCGTAACGGAGGGTCATTTTCTCCCTGAGCCAGTCTGGGAGAGGGGGAGGGGTTAGTTATTCTTGTGTTGGAGTTTGGGCTGTTCGGATGGTTTTGTTTCTTGGCACGCTGGGGGGTGGTGTTGGAGACTGGGGGTTGCGTGGAAAGTAAACAGAAGGGTTGAGAAAACTTACCATCGTGATACATGTAATGCAAGGCGCTGACAAGCTGCATGAGGTCGTGCCCGCTGCAGTCGAATGTAATGGGTGACCCATTCTAATCTTGTCAGCTGTTATTGTTGAAGAAACGGGGCGGATTATTGGCATTTGGGTGCGTTGACTTACGGGATTCCTGGGTGGCAATCGGTCTTTGAAGAAGGTCGAATTTTCGCAGAGAATCACGCGGTGGAACCTCCAGTTCCAGCTTCCGCAATTGACTCGTACATCCCATTCCCGTGGTGTTGCCCAGAGCCTGTTCGGCTGTTAGCAAGCGTGTTGCTGTCTACACGCGTGCATGCCACTTACGATATCTCGCCCCGGTTATGGGATTCAATCACCAGACGTCGTCTCCTTTCCCGCTCGGTATTGTCGACGATATAACTAATATGTCTATCCAAATCGTCACCTTCGGAGAGCCGAGCTCTGGTAGAGTCGTTGAGGATGCGGCTAACAGCCGCATCGGGGTGCTCGCCATTAGGCAGCCTGTCGATATCCCGGAGGATGCCGGCAATTCGCGTATCAATATCGTCTCTAGCTTGAGGCATTTTTGAATCCGCAGAAGCTTGGTCTAGAATTTGAAGGAGTGTGAGTAATGGCGTGGAGAAAGGTGTCGTCGAAGGTAAGAGTGAAGAAGGAAGAGTAGAGGAAACATCTCCTGCCGAGAAGTGGTGGAATGGCTGCCCATACAGCAATTCGAGGAGGTTCTGTGACTCGACACCCCGTGACTCGCCCCCTTTTTGTCTGTGCAAAAACGTGATCAGGTTGTGGCCGTCGCCTAGTCCCCCCGTTGTCATATCCATATGGAAGGGTTCGCCCAGGAAGTGTGCAGATCGATACAGCCGCCAAGGCTCATTATTCTTTCCAGGCCAAGTTCTTGGACATATGTCATGGCCATCTCCAGGCTTGTCGATATCCTCAAGGCCCAAGTCAACATGCAGAGAAACTCCGGTGTGGGCCGGAGAACCAACGGCCGCTTGGACCCCCCCCTTTGCCTCTGCATTCTTGGTTTGGTTGCTTTGGAGCGTCGCCGGTGATGGTTTGCCCTTCACGACCTCGGCATATGAAAATGGTGACTTGGCGGATTTCTTTGCGGTCCGAGCCCTGGGCGAGGATTTATGATGCGAATCCCCCGCTGCCTGTCCGGTCTGGGACGCCCTCTGGTGAGCGCCTGTGGGGCTTTGCTTGTGGCCTTTCTTTTGGGTTGATCTTGCGCCCTTCTTCGGGGATATCTTCTTAGCTGTATTCTGCTCTGTGCTCGCCCCATTTGTCGGAGCAACCGCACATTTCCGCGCAGCCACGGTTGCAATCTCCTCGGTAGATTTGGACTCCTGGTCAACCCTCTTGTGACCACGCACAACATCGGCGTATGATGTTATGCGTTTTGTCCCCGAACTCCCTGCTGGCCCCATGATGCAACAAAAGTGCTGGCCACAACCCTCCCGCGCAGAGTGCTAAATGCCCGACGCCCTTGTTGTAAACTTGAGTGTAGTCGGTCCGCGATGAGTTGCTTGTGTTCTGACTCACCCAATTGGGTTAAACTTCAAAAGGGGTTTATTTTTTTCTCCCACTGAATTGTTGAAGACAGAGCTCATTGTTGCATGGGTGAACCCAACGTCATCGTTGTTTTGCTTTGTTGTTCGTCGTGTTGGTTGTATCGTGTCTTTGGATATTTTGGTCCGCGATGTTGATAAGTTTTGTGGTCGGTGCTCTGCGACTGCACAAGATGCAATTGATTCGTTTGAATCGTCGAGTTCAAGTCGTCGGATCTTTACAGAAGTCAGTTGTTGCCTGATAATTAGGTAGAACAGTGAGAATTCAGCAAAGAGACTTAGGTACCTGCCGTAGGCGACCCTTTCAGGCCACAACGGACACTGGTGCATGGCACTGAAGAAAAGAAGGAGAACATAACGATGGCATGCTAGGTAAATTTTGTCAGAGTTCATTTCCACGCCTAGAATAAAACTACCTACGCTGTGTGCTGGGAGTCCCGCTTGCGCGACCTCCACGCTGAATCTGACCATCCTATCTGTGAACCCAAAAGCCATAGCGACCACCAGGGGTATATGGCATCCCGGGTGTTGGTTGGCCCTCTCCAGTTTAGCCGTGGACTGCGTATAACGGTCTCAAGAAGTTGACGAAAGCGAGTTACGCGCGCTCGAACTCCGGATCGAGTACTTGAAGATGGTATAGTACCGGAGAATCTGGATGAGCCCGTTCATTCCCATTGAGATTAGGCCGGTTTCGAAGCTCGGAACTCTTGTTACAAACGGTCGAAACATCCAGAACCTCGTCGCCACTCCCGAGCCAACCCTCCTCGTCACACGCAGTGGATAGTACCAGCACAAGGCCAGCAGGATGCGCCCAGCAGCTCTCGCCAAGATATTTGCCAAAGCTCTTAGCCGAATGGTGTCGATTATATGCCATCCACATCTTCGGAGAACGTAGCTGGCCCCCAGTTCGATCATCCCTGTGTAGAGCCGAACATGGTGGATGGGGCTTCGAGCGCGCGTCGTTCGGGGTTATTCGGTCGGGGAAGAGGGGAACCTCCGCTGGTAAAATGGCCAGGTCCCTGGTGGTGCTATTATGATGCGTGTATATCAAAGTTAAGAGACTAATCTCGGATTAGGTTGCGCGAGATTACTTAGGTGTTGTGGCGGGAACGTCGGAACGTCAGAGGAAACGCGGGATAAGACGTGGCAGTTCGTAACTTCCTTCCACCGGAGATGGGCAGGGTGACGGGCAACAATAGCGGGAGTAAGAGCGAAGAGTTGCCACTACACGCAGGTGCGATATCCACTATTAAGGTTGACTATGATTTGATCATGAAGATCTTCACCATGTTAGCCAATCTCCCTCCGTACCGAGAACCGGGAATTCCCACCTGATTGAGCGCTGCGCTGTCTGCAAATGCCATCTTTTTTTGGGCGATGAACCTCGATCTTGCCAGGTACCTGCTCGAGCCCGTGGGGATAGGGGTCGAGTAGCCGCTGCCAGTCGGCGTAGAAGAATTGCTGTCTGTGGGTGTGGGCGCTGAAGACGGCTCCGAAGTAGCCTCCTTTTTCTTTCGCTTCTTCTCTTCAGATATACTGTCGCCTGTCTCGGCTCCCGATTCTGCGGCTGCTTTCTCAATCCGACGCTTCTCCTTCTTTTCTTTTTTATCTCTCCTTTCTTTCTTCTCCTTCTTGTCCCTTTTCTTGTCCTTTTTCTCATTTTTTGTGTTCCCAGCCTCGGAAGCACCGCTGGCCTCATCCAGAGACTCGGCAGTCTTCGGCGTCACAGCCGGTTCCTCGCATTCATCCGACTCGGTCTTCCTCCTCTTCGATTTCTTGTCCTTTTCCTTTTGTCCACCTTCGCCGCCCACATCGCCCTCGGACCCTGCTTTCCTCTTCTTCGACTTTTTTTCCTTCTTGCCCAACTTGTCGTCTTCTTTATCGGACCTTCGGTCGGCCTTGCGCTTTTTGGATTCCACCGCGGCAGGCTCTGGCGCCTCGCTCGTTTCTGTAGAATCAGGAATCTCCTCTGCCTCCTCGTCGGGCGTTTGCTTAACCTGGTCGCCAACCAACCACCCGCCTTTAACGAACCGCATCATGCCGAACTTCTTCTGTATGTACAGACTGAGTTTCACATCGTTCCGGACCTTCTGTTCTGCCTCCAGCGCCTCGTCGCTCTTGCCATTCAGACGACCAAGAAGGTGCTGGAACGCATCGAGGCCGGTGCATTCGTCGCCATTATTCCGCTTGGCGCCGAGGCCAAGAGTGTCGTCTTTGAGGGTGACCCTGATGTGCGTCGTGTTGGCTTCGGTGTGCCATTCCGCATGCGCAGCGTCCTTCGCACCAAGATACTCGCCTGGCTGCCACCCCTGAGCCCTCAAGATTTTCTGGCCAAACGTGTCGGTATTGCGCGACCATTTGGTATTGTTCGGGTCATTGCCGAGTTTCCGCTTGCTGTTGGTTTGTTAGTTAACCACCACGGGTTGAAGGTTCAGATAATTTCCTCACTTCTTGGCACCAGCGAGACCCATTCTGATCACAAGGTGCTCAGCGTTGTAGAGCAACAATCTTCAGGTAAACCGGTGACAACGCTGTGTTGTTTGGTGGTTACATGCGGACTCGGGAAATTTTAGCGGGGAATCAGTCTCAGCCAGCGGAAAAAGACTCTGCCCGCACACACCGCCCTATGGCTGGGCCAATTGACATCCTGCTGGACAGTTACCCCACAATGAGTTGCGTTCCAATGTCCATCACCAACGACAATTTGTGAGTAGTGGCGGAATGTTGAATGCAACTAGCCGCAATTGACATCCTTACCTAGAACCACCCATCAACACGCGGTTTGAGATGGCACCTGCAGCAAACACAGCGCGACAGAGACGGATTTCCGGGTCGGCAAGAGCTCCGGTGGACTCTGACTCGGACGCCGAATATCAAGCCTACAATGGTCGTCTAAAGGAAGCGAGCGCAGCTCGAACCCGCCTGCGCAAGGTATGGCCATTACATAGTATACCTAAGGTAGTTCCTTGGACCTCTCCCAGCTTACCACATTCGCCGATGGCATAGGCCAAGCAAACCCGCGACAAAAACCGCACCGCCCTCGCAC